CTTGTTTCTACCAGAAACAGTTCTATCTAGGACCCAAGTATGCACAGTGCCTTTATATATGGAAATAAAACATCGGGGTAAAGTCTGAATGACTCTGAAAATCTAAATAAAGAGGGTGAAATCACAAGAAAACCAGCACAAATCTTGAGTAGGAAGAATCAGAAACAAAACAGAGATCTCATTAGTGGTGGTAAGGAGATATAGATCAGAACTGAACCTTGTTGAAGTGGAGAACTCTTAATAAATATCCTGACTGGGCTACCGCTGACCCAGAAGATATACCTTCCAGGAATAAATACCATGCCCTGGGAATAAGGGCAATGCTAAAATAAAGCTGCCCTTAAAAAGCCTAGCACGAAATGTTGAAAGAAAGTAAAGATCTACTTGCATTCAATCTGCCTGCCAAAAGAAAAGTTAACATAATCCCTCTTGGAGGAAGATAACATTAGTCGTAACTTCTGTGACATTTTTCATATATGATATCTGGAATTAAACCAGAAAATATAAAGCATACTTGAAAAATATGACTAAAAGATTGAATACTAGAGCAAAACAGAAATGGGACCTATGGATGATCAAATAGTGTCGCTGTAAGAAATAGATTTTATTTAGTTAAAAAAATCAAGGAAAATGGATACAAAAACAGATGAAAAGATGGAAAATTTCAACTGGCAGTGTATTTTAAGAGGATCATAAGAATTTTCAGTAGATTCTCATGGACACTTAGAACTAAAAAATAGAGGCCTGTATTGTAATATTTCCTCTTGCAATGAAGACACTCCATATGGGTGCTAGTTTAAGTCTTGGCTGTTTCATTTCCATTGAAACTCCCTGCTAATGCACCTGGGAAAGCAGCAGAAGAGTGTCCAAGTGTTTGGGCTCTGTAACCACACACATGCAGGCCGATATTTCTTGCTGTGGTCCCACTCAGCCATGACCATTGCAGCCAATTGGAGAGTGAATTTGTCGATAGTACATTCTGTTTCTGTCTCTCCTCCTCTCTCTGTAACTCTGTCTTCCAAATAAATAAAAAGTAAATTCTCAAAAAAAAAAAAAAACACCTGAAAAACAATGTATCTAGAATAAAGAAATCATTGTGTATGTGTAATAGCAGATTTGATACAAGAAAACAGAATTCTCAAACTGGAAGATAAAAGTATCCAAACTTTGCATCAGATTAGCTTCCTAAGATATCTGCATTATTCCAGTTCTTACCTATATCCCCAAAAACTACCCACTTTTGCCCCAGGTCTTCTTTTTTCCTGATTATCTTTTCTGCTTTTTAAATGTATACAGCCAAATCAAAATTATAAATGTCTATATTATACACATGTATACCTGTGGAATGATTAAATTATGATAATTAGATATATTGCTTTATATCCTCTTAATTTTTGATAGTAGAACATTAGAAAACTAGTCTGTCTACAATGCTTAGGAATACGTTATGTTATTAACTATAGTCAAAATGTCAAAATAGATGTCTTGATTTCCTTTCTCCTGTCTAATATAAAAAACCTATTTCCACAAATCCATATTAAAAAAAAACAATGTTAGGAAATTTTGGCAAATGGCATTGTGCAGGAGAGTGGTGCCTGATAAGACAACACAAAACACAGTTATTTATACTACTTGAAGTGCACAAAAGCCTACGCAGACATGTAACTGACACCACACATATTTGGCAACTATTCAATGGTAAGGACCTCTGCTTCTCAGAGTGTGTTTTCCAGAAATTTAGGGAAGCAAACATTTATTTCCAGAGAAAATGAAATTTAAAAAATTTGTTATAAAATCATAGCAAGAAATCAAGCCAGGTAGCCACAGTTCAAACCTAGAGTTAATAGTATGGTCTATCACCTACTCAGCAACTGCAACAACCAGCTGATCAGGGCAATGGACTGAGCCGGGTCCTATGCTTGCTAGAACACACAGGAATCTGGACTGGGAATACCTCAAAATTTCTTTGGGGATCTCCCCAGTCGGGATGCCGGACTCAGATTGCCCTAAGCAAGAAAAGACAGAACACGTCAATCAACAACCTCAGCTATCTGTCGGCAGCGAAATACTGGGCAAATGGTGACTCCATAAGGGACTGTGTTAATCAGTGGATTCTTCGACGACCACATCGTGCTTGGAGTGGCAAGACTGGTAGCGATCCATGAATGGTGAACTATCGAAACCATTTGAGCGAGTATCTCAGAGCATGCCCCACATCTGGGACTTGGGGTGGGTGGGAAATTGGGTGGGGCTTCTCCCTCAATATCTCCCTTTACCTCAGATACATGAAGGAAGCGATATGGAAATGATGGTCTTACCCACTTCGCTGTAGCCCTTGAACCTTTTTTACCCTAATTAACTATGTAAAGATTGTCAAAAATATAATCAAAACATATATTTTAAAAAAAGAACAGAAATCTTAAAAAACTTAAACAATGCAACAAAGAAAAAAAATAGTATGGTCTGTCTACAAATGTAATGCCCTAACTCAGTTTCTGCAACTGAGGTTATAGTCAGAGCTTTTGTTAAGGGTGAAATAGAAAACTAATGAACTCTAACCAGGTAACGATGATCTATAATTGTTTAACTTCTTCAGGTTTTGAATCATGTTGGTTCTGGAATACAGTGACATCCAAAACACTTTTAGAAGAGAAACTGTAAGATTTTGTGGTCAGGAAAACATAGCAATCACAATATACCATATGTTAATATGCCATTATCTTTTGGTTAAATTACAAACAACTTATGTAGAAGTCTGTTACCTGGGATTGGTCTTGTGGCATAGAGTGTAATGCCGCCTGTGACTGTAGTGTCCCACATGAGCATGGGTTTGCATCCCAGCTGCTTTAAATGATCTGATTTTATAATAAAATATGTGGGCTGTATATGTGTCTACCCATAACCCACCCATTTGCGGCTCCTGCCTGATATACTCGTTTTTTATTCTAAAAGAACTATGTTGAAAACAACTTTTTTTTTTTTTTCTAGAAAGACACAAATCTTGAATTTCCATCCACTAATTCAGTCCTTGAATGCCCGTAATAGCTGAACTTAGTCCCAGAAGCCTGAATCTGGAAACATCATCCAGATTTCTCACAAGGGGAGTAAGGAGCCCAGTTATTCAAGCCATCATTGTTGCCTCGCTGAGTCTGCATTGTTGAGAATTTAGAGTAAGGAACCGGAGCTGGGAATCAGATTCAGGCACTATGATGTGAATGTCTTAACCACCACACTAAGTGCTTGCTGTCAAAGAGACAATTTCTATCTTCAGTAAGATCTTGTTTCCAAATTAAAACCTTTTAGATTTACTTTTGACTCTTTGCTAACATATTCCATGGCTCAAAACTTTGAAATTATGACTGTTATTGCTATTCTCTTGGACTAAAAGCTTTTCTGTCATTTCTCCTCGTCTGAAAACTACCAACACCTTTTCTGTGGTTGGGTGTTACTTATCCCAGGGAATGTAAGTCTCCTGATCCTTATTTAGTCATCTGTTCTCTCATGTGATGAAATAGCCAGGTTTTGAAAAGTAGGTTAAAATAGCCAGGATAAAACAGTCACTTCCTAAATTCCACTTACCATGCTTTCCCTTGGCTGTTTCTTTTTATGAAGGAATGTTTTCCTAAGCAAATCACACTAACTTTCTCACTTCTCTTTGAGTTTTGCTTGGTGTAAATATGTGACCATACCTGAATTTTTCTGATTGCTTTCCTTGTTGTTAATCGCTCCAGGTAAAAAGAAAATACATAAACAAGATGAGGTTTTCATAATGGAGAGTTACTAATGGTCCAAATCCTTCTCTTTCTTCCTTAATTCCCTTAGCAAACAAAACTCATTTTAAGCTCATTGTCTTAGGTTTCTATGCCTTTGTATTTTTCCTTTGAATAGTCTTGTAAACAGAGCTCATGTCATCTTAATCTTTCTCTGAGTGTTCTCGGGAGAAAATACTTTTCCAGAAAAGCAAGGATAATTCACTCAATGAGGTAAATTCATCTGTTTTTAGTGTACCATTTCTATGAGTTCAGACAAAGCATGCATTATTGTAACTGCCACTAAAATGAAGACACATGTGGGTATATCACATGTTTGTGAGGAAATAGTACAAAACTTTTTGAAATCTGTTCATGCTTGTAGACCAAACAGTTCCTTCCCAAATTGTCCTGTCATGCTGTAAGTCCTTCACACTTTTACCCCTGGCAACCATTTATCTGCTATCTGTCCCTAGCACTTTGCCTTTCTTAATGACATATAAATGAAGTCATATCCTATATAACTTTCTAATCTTGTCTCTTTCATATAGCAAAATGCATTGAGCTTTGTTCATACGCTTGTGGAAAGCAATTGTTTGTTCCTCTTAATGACTGAATAATATCCCCCTGTGTGGTTGACCGGGGTTTTTTTATCCTTGCACTAGTTGAAGTGTGGTTGTCTCCAGTTTCTGGTTATTATAAGGTGAACTGCCATATGTATTCATTGGGTGACTTCATTTTTTAATGGGTGTAACGAAGAGTGGGGCAGTGTGACTATGTGTAATGAGCATGTGGGAGCACACCGAAGTGCTGGAATCCCATATTAGTTTTATATCAATTACCTATTGTTTAAAGAATATTACCTCCCTCTGTCTACTTCTGTAATGTGTGCATGATCCAGGACTTATTCTAGCTCTGAACTAACATGATTTTCTGCCAGGCAGGTAAGACATTTACTAGTGTAAGAGAAAAAGTTATAAATGGTCACATATACTTTAGAAAGCTGAATTCGATAAAAATCAATATAGCAAGTTTAAAAGTAAGTGGTCATTTTATCTCCTTCAGCCCAACTATCCAAATAGTTGGAAAAGAATATAACTTATGAAGAAGTTCTAACTTTTCTCATAAGCTTAACTATAATCCACTTAATTTTACGTGCAGTTATTTTGTTCATAATATTCTTAAATAAAATATTTCATCATTTTTTCATTATCTTGTACATTTTTAAATATGCCTTTTTTTTTTATTTAGATGGGTTTGGGAAAGACAATCCAGGCAATTGCAATAGCTTATTTCTATAAAGAGGAATGGCCACTTTTAATAGTGGTCCCTTCATCTCTGAGATACCCTTGGACAGAAGAAATTGAGAAATGGATTCCAGAACTGGATCCAGAAGAAATCAACGTTATCCAGAATAAATGTGATGTTGGGTAATAAAAATTTTTTAATCTTGTATTGGAAAAATGTTTTCATTATCTGTATTTAATACTCATTGTTCAGAATAAAGTATCACTTATAATAATTTAGAAATAGGAAAGTAGTATGCAGAGTTTTCTTTGTTCATTTTAAAATTTAAATTTTTAAAATCTAAAACAAGGCATTTAAAATTTTAAATCTAAAACATGGCTGGGAAAAACAGTGTAAGATAGCCCAAATGTGTGGGCCTCTGCCATCCATGTGCAAGACTTCGACAGACACAACATCCCACATTGAGAGCCTAAATCAAGTCCAGGCTACTCTGTCACTGATCCTACTTTCTGCATAAATGCACCCTGCTGGGCTGTAGAGAGTGACTCAAGTACTTGGATGCCTACCACCCATGGAAGAAATGTGGCTCCTGCATTCAGCATGGCCCATTCAAGATTTTTGGGGGGCATTAGGTGAATGATCTCTCCACCTTTCTTGTTCTGTTTTTCCAATAAAATATAACTAACAACTTTCTTAAGATATGTTTATTTTTATTGGAAAGTCAGAATTACAGAGAGAAAAGGAGAAAAATCTTCCATCTACTGGTTTAATCCCCAAGTGGCCGCCACAGCCAGAGCTAAGGAAATCTGAAGCTAGGTTCTTCTTCCAGTTCTCCCACACAGATAGAGGGTCCCAAGGCTTTGGGCTGTTCTTGACTGCTTTTCTAGGTCACAAGCAGGGAGCTGGATAGGAAGAGGAGTAGCTGGGATATGAACTAGAGCTCATATCGAATCCCGGTGCATTCAAGGCGAGGACTTTACCCACTACACTAGGCTACCACGCTAGGCCTGATAATAAATAATTTTAAAAAGATTTGCCTACTTATGTGAAAATCTGAGTTACAAAGAGATGAAGAGACCTTCCATTTGCTGGTTCACTCCCCAAATGGCCTCAATATCTGGGTCTGGGCTAATCAGGAGCCAGGAGCCAGGGGCTTCATCCATGTCTCACACATAGGTTCTGGGACCTACATACTTAGAGCACATTCTGCTGCTTTCCCAAGTGCAATAACAGGGAACTGTATCAGAAGTGGCTCAACTGGGCCATCAAATGGCACAGTTTTGGGATGTTGGAGCTGCAGATAGGGGTTTTACCAGCTACTTCTCAACACCGGCCCATAAATAATTAATTTTTTTGAAAACAACATTACTTTGTGATTTTTTTCAAAAAAACATTACTTTGTGATGGCATTTGCTTGTGTATACTTGGGATCATGCATAAAGTTGTTATTCAACTATTAGTTGATTCTTCAGTGAATCCTTCGCAGCAATTGGAACAACACAATATAGTATTGTAGAGCTGTGCAGTGCATAGCAGGGCATTTCACATTTCTTGTCCTACTAAAAGGCGAGCACAATTCCTTAATCAGTGTAATAGCAAAAACATCCCTGGCTCTGGTATAAAAAGATTATGGCTGAAAGAAACGGAAGAAACCACCTAACACAGCAGACTGTTGCCCTAAAATGATCCTTGATCTTTTGATCTTTGTAATTTATACAACTGTAATATTCTTTTATGTTATTGTCATGAAATTATTCATTTACATATTTGTCTACCCTACGTTATTATGAGATTTGGGTAGAAAATGTGTCTTGTTTATATTTGTATATGCAATGCTATGCTCCCAATACAAATTTGTGGAATGAAATAGACGATTATATTCATTAATGCTAAGACATTATTTTTGCATTTTCTGTATTACCAGTGAAAACAGGATAGAGTCCATCTTCTGCAGTTCTCAGCCCTTTAACAGAATAGGCTTAGTATTTTGGGCCAATGTTGTGCTGAAGTCCCAGCAGGAACTGAACTGCTCTACCAGATACTCAGGAAATTACCTTCTGATGTGCCTTGTCAGTTACAAGAATCTTCCAAAGATCAGTTGAAAAAGTTTGCTTTTGGTTAGCCAAAAAATTATTTAAAGATATATTTTATTTTTATTTGTAAGTAGCAGAGAGAGAGAGGTCTTTCATGTACTGGTTCACTTCACTTATGGCCATAGCAGCTGAGCAGTTCTGAAACCAGGAGCCAAGAGCCTTTTCCAGGTCTCCCACATGGATGCAGGATCCCAAGAACTTGGGACATCCTTTGCTGCTTTCCCAATCCATAAGGAGGGAGCTGGAGTAGAAATAGAGCAGCCTGGACATGAGCCGGTGCTCCTATGGGATGCGAGTGTTGCAGGTCAAGACTTTAATGAACAACACCACAGTGCTGACCCCCAGGTAACCAAAATGTTTAAACGTGGATCCTGTTTCATCATAACTAAAGACTGTAAAATACCAAGAGAAATTGAGTTTCCATAGTAATACCATCTCCTCTTAGTTTTTAAGATTATTTTAAATTTATTTTGTTTTTATTATAAAGTCAGATACATACAGAGAGGAGGCGAGACAGAGAGGAAGAGCTTCCGTCCTATGATTTTACTCCCCAAGTGACTGCAGTGGCCAGAACTGAGCCAATCGGAAGCCAGGAGATAGGAATCTCTTCTGGGACTCTCACACTGGTGGTTTGGGCCGTCCTTGACTGCTTTCCCAGGCCATAGACAGGGAACTGGATGGGAAGCGGGGCTGCCGGGACTAGAACCATTGCCCATATGGGATCCTGGCATGCTCAAGTTGAGGACTTTAGCCACTAGGCCACTGCACTGAGCCCTTAGTTTTTATTTTTTCCCCATATTTTTCCTTCTCTTTTTCCCCAAAGAGTAGTGTCATTTGTGATTAATTGGTTACACTGACAAACTTTAATGCATACTTATTTTCTCTTGTAGGGGAATATCAACCAGCAAAGTATCTGTTCTGGGTTATGGTCTTTTAACAACAGATGCAGAGATTTTGATAGATGCATTGAATAACCAGAACTTCAAAGTAGTGATAGTGGATGAGTCACACTACATGAAGTCCAGAACCGCAGCTCGCAGCAAGATTTTATTGCCCATAATACAGAAAGCCAGACGAGCCATTCTTCTTACAGGGACGCCAGCTTTGGGAAGACCTGAAGAGGTATTACAAGTCTATATGCTTTGGGTTTAGAAATAATAAGAAAGGAAAAAGAAAATTATGTCAATCACCTGTTTTGTAATTTTAAATTGCAGATTAGGTCCCTCAAAAACCAGAAGAGTACTTTGGGACTTTGCAGACAGCAGTTAATGATCAAATGTGCATTTTATTTTGACTGATTTAAAGCCTTTTTACATGTGTAGGTATATTGATAAAATGCTTTTAACCTTTTTGTTTTACAAAGTTTTCATTTTTAGTAGATATCTGTAATTTTTTTGTGTGCCTGAGAGTCTTCTGTATTTATATTTATTTGTCCTATCTACTTTGCATTATATGCTACTTAAGATTGCATTGATTGTGCTTTATTTCTTTTATATTGTACTATATAATTTTTCTCTGTTCCTCTTTCACCTCACTAGTCTACTTTTAAATAAGGAGAGAGGAAAGTGGGACATGTGTGCAGACCATATCAATTACTTATTTATAGTAAGGTTTAAAAAACGTATTTAGCTTTTGCCATCTAATCAGGCAAGTAGAATATGGAATGCTTATAGGGTTGGATAAACAAAATGATAATCAAACTCTGAAAAATCTGAGCTCAATATTTCCCGAGGAACAGCTGTCTGCCAAGGACACTGAATCCTAGAAAACATGTAGGATTTTTGCACAGTAGGGTTCCTGGGAGAAATGAAGGAAATAGGAAATATTGTATTAAAGATACCTAGTCTTGTGGCTGGCGCACAGTGACTTTACTGCTAGGTCAAATACCCCTCCCCAGCCACACGCAAACACACACACAAACACACACACACACTCCTACTTTTTTATGTGTGCTTTTATTCTTCAGTGTTTTATTTATTGATTGGTGCTGTTGTAAATTTTTTTCTCAGATTCATTTTTGATTACTAATAGCTGAGCATAAAAACTAAATTTTAAGGGTATTTTAAAAGCATTTTACAGACTTTCTGAACTCACTTAGTAGATTACTACTATTTTAGCAAATTCCTTAGGATTCTCTTTACAGAGAGTCATGTCCTATCCATAGGGATGGTTGCATTTCTTCCTTTCCGATTTAATCATTTCTATTTCATGTTTCTACCTGATTACAGTTACCTTCACTACAGTGTTGAGTGGCAATACCAAGAGCAGGCATCCTTATTCTGATCCTAATAAGGATCAGAATCCTAATAAGAGATCCTAATAAGGATCTCTCTTCGGGAGAAACATTTTTTAAATATATAAACATATATGTATACATTTTACATTCTTATTTTATTTAAAAGATTCACTTATTTATTGGAAAGTCAGATATACAGAGAGGAGGAGAGACAGAGAGGAAGATCTTCCATCCAATGCTTCATTCCCCAAGTGAGCGCAATGGCCAATGCTATGCCAATCCGAAGCCAGGACCCAGGAACTTCTTCCGGGTCTCCCACACGTGTGCAGGGTCCCAAAGCTTTGGGCTGTCCTTGACTGCTTTCCCAGGCCACAAGCAGGGAGCTGGATAGGAAGTGGGGCCACTGAGATTAGAACTGGCACCCATATGGGATTCCGGCGCGTTCAAGGCGAGGACTTTAGCCGCTAGGCCACGCCGCTGGGCCCTAAGTTCTTATTTTTATATGAAATGAATAGATTTCACATTTTTCATCATACAGATTTAAAAGCATAGGGGTTTTACCCTCACCTTCTTCCTTCCCCATTTCCCCCCTCATTATTTTTTCACAGACTACTACAGTAGCATATTGTTCACTTCACTGTAACAACCTTCAGTTTTCAATATTGAAAGATATTTTGACCTAGGGCCCGGCAGCGTGGCCTAGCAGCTAATGTCCTCGCCTTGAATGTGCGGGGATCCCATATAGGCACCGGTTCTTATCCCAGCAGCTCCACTTCCCATCCAGCTCCCTGCTTGTGGCCTGGAAAAGCAGTCGAGGACGGCCCAAAGCCTTGTGATCCTGCACTCATATGGGAGACCTGGAAGAGGTTCCTAGCTCCTGGCTTCGGATCAGCGCAGTACTGGCGGTTGCGTTCACTTGGGGAGTGAATCATTGGACAGAAGATCTTCCTCTCTGTCTCTCCTCCTCTCTATACATCTGACTTTCCAATAAACAAATAAATCTTTAAAAAAACAACAACAAAAAAGGTATTATGACCTAGCAAGTAGAGGAAAGAAGAAAAAAATAAAATTACACATATAATAAAAGTAAACTAAAATAAAGATGGAAATGCCACAGCTCCTTGTATACAGCAGTTTATCCCCAGTTTCCTAATCAGAGAGAAAGCATTTAACCTTTCATTCTAGACTATCCATGGGTTTTCTTACCTTTTAAAAATCAGGTTAAGGTATTGCTTTTCTATCCCTTGTTTATTCATTGATTACTTGTAGGAGATGAATTTTGTAAGGCTTTTTCTACTTTTACTGAAACAGTTTTGTAGATTTTGTTTTTTATTCTATTGATCAGGGTATATTACATTACTTTGTTTTTTGAGTTTTGAAATAGCCTTGCTTTCTTGGGGTGATTCTCACTGGGCTTGGTGTATAATTATTTTTATATGGTGTTTGATTAGGGAGGAAAATGCTGTGTTGAAGATTATTGTATTCTGTTTTCATAAGCTATATTGGTCTGAAGCTTTTTTTTGATTGATTTGTTTTTTTACTTTGGAATCAAGGTAATACTGGCCCTGCAAACTGAGTTGATCGATCCTCTTCTGCTTTTTGAAAAAAAATTCTGGAATATTAGTATTCTTTTTTTAATGTTTGGTATAATTCAGTAGTGGAACTGTATGGGTGTTGACTTTTCTTTGTGGCTAGCTTTTGGCTTTTATGTGATATCTTTACCGGATATATGTCCATTCAAATTGTGTTTTTCTTCCTGAGTCAGTGTTAATACTTTGTCTGTAATTTCATTACATCAGAGTCTTTGCTAATTTGCCTTTTGACTTTTTCTTTGACTCATTGTATATTTAGGAGTATGTGTTAGTATTAAAAGGGTGTTGTTATGATGTATACATGAATTTGATTGTATCCTTTATTTAAAGCTTCATGCTGGAAGCTTAGTCCTTGCAGTGGTAAAGTGAATGTGAGACTCAATCCTATTTGGCTTGGTGATGTGATTACTCATTGCCTCTCACACTACTGCCATGATGGTGTCTCCCATGAGATTTCCACTAGAATCTGAACCACTGGAGTTGCCAAATTTTCTACTTTTGGCATCCAAAACCTGAGCTAAATAAATATGTTTTCTTTATAAGTATCCTTCCTCAGAGGTTTAGTTACAGTAATAAAAAGTAGAAGAATAAAAATGTGAACCACCAAAATTGCTTTGAAAAATACTTCCGCAGTTCCTTAAAACATTGTGATAATTCCATTCCTAAGAATATACTCGATAGCATTATTCATGATACTGAAAACAGAAAACCAGTAAAATAGTTATGAATTTATTAATACATCTCTGCCCTGGAATAGTGTTAGAACACAAAAAGAAATGAAGGACTGTATGTGCAGCAAAATGCATTAAAACACAATACAACATGAAAGCCAGATACAAAAGACTGTATGTTGTATGATTCTGTTCAAATGAAACATACAGAACAAGCACGTTCATGAGGAGAGAGCATTGATTAGTAGTTGCCAGAATTTGAGGGGAGAAAAAAATGGACAGTGACAGCTATTGGGTATGGAATTAATGAAATATTCCAGAATTAGAGACTGGTGATTGATGTACATTCTTGTGAATATAGTAAGTCGCTGAATTATATACTGTGTGAACCTTATGGTATGTAAGCTGTATCTCAATAAGGCTGTTATTTCAAAAGCCATTTTAAAATAGCCATGAAATACTACTCTGGACAGACTTTCAGAGTTGTAAAAGTGAAAAGATTTTAGGATACTATTAATGTGTGAGTAGATTTCAATGAGATAATCCAATATAGTAACACTCATTAAACATTAAAGAGCATAACCTTAACCCCAGTCATTTTCTATTTCTGAAAATGTGTCTGATAGCCCCTAAAAATAAAAAAGTAGACAGATATACAAAGTAATAGTTGCAACATGTTAAACAAACTTGTATTGTTTCAGCTTTTCATGCAGATTGAAGCACTCTTCCCTCAAAAATTTGGAACATGGACTGACTATGCCAAAAGATATTGTAATGCACATATCAGGTACAAGAAACTATTTTCCATAGCTTTTTTTCTTGCATGTTTATTGTGAATATTAAACTTTATTGGTCATTCTTTTCTCCAGTTCTTTTCAAACTTGTGGCACAGATATTGGAAATTATTCAGGTTTATGTGAATAATCTACAGAGAAAATTAAGGAACGTTATACATAATGCCAGAGATTTCAATTTCATTTTTATTTGCTCTTTTGTTATTATATTGAAATTATGTAATTTCTTCTTTTTAAAATTTTGCTTCTTTTTATAATTATTACTGTATGATAAGGTTCCATAGGCCCTGGGATTTCCCTTATCTCCTTCCCCCCCCCCAAGGTGTTCCCCTATATAATTACTGTAGTATGGTTCTTTATACACAGTCATATGTCCATCATTATGGACATGAACAATGCCAGATAGTCCAGTATGCTGTTGTCAAGACATAGTAAACAGTTTCATTGGGAGTCCATCTTTGTCTGAAAGTACAGATGCATACTGCATTGTATCCTTACATTTGGATATGATAGTCTCCATTACATTTACTATATATCCCACTAAATAAAAAGCCACAATACAAAATCAACAATAGGGAGAAAAATAGAAATTACAATACCATGAAGTTAAATAACATGCTACTACATATGATAGTCTCCATATACCATTACTATACATCCCCTTAAATGAAATGCCACAAAACAAAACCAACAACAGGAAATAAAAAGAGAAATCAACAACACCATGAAGTTAAATAACATGCTACCGAATGACTAATGTGTCGCTGAAGAAATAAAAAAGAAAATCAATAACCTTCTAGAAGAAAATGATGCTGCTGTATGATCTATAAGTCATTGAAGAATCTACTGAAAAGAAAATGTTGTTGGAAAGATGAAACTAACAAAAAAAATCAGATCTATGAGATATAGTTTCCTTTCATCTTTGTTGGTGAGATATGTCTCCTGTAGGCAACAAATAGATGGGTTTTGTTTTTTAATCCAGTCTTCTAATCTATGACATTTGATTGATGAGTTTAAGCCATTTGCATTCAAGGTTAATATGAATGGGTGGTGATTTGGTCCTGTCATTTTAGCAATGGGTTGTTCATTGATTTAGCAAATGTTCTTTGCATTTGCCTTTGGTTTTGGTGGGTGCTATTCTTTTCCTCTGTCAAGAGAGCATCTTTAAGTATCATTTGTGGGGCAGATTTGGAAGAGGTAAATTCTGTGAGCTTTTCTTTACCATGGAAGAATTTTATTTCATTTTCAAAAACAAAGGAAAGTTTTACAGAGTATGTTATCCTGCTTTTAGAATGTCGCTCCATTCTCTTCTTGACTATACAGTTTCCTGTGAGAGGTCTCATGTGAATTTAATTGGCATTCCTTTATATGTCAATTGATTTTTTTCATGTGCACATTTAAGGATCTTTTCCTTATGTTCAATTGAAGAGAGCTTGATGATCATGTGTCTTGGTGAAGATCACTTTTGGTCAAGCCTGTTGGGAGTTTTGTGCCACTCACGGATGTTGTTTCTCTAGATTGTTTCTCTAGATTGTTCTCTAGGTTGTTTCTCTGTTGTTCTCTAGATTGGGGAAATTTTTCTTTATTATCATTAAATACATTTGTAAACCCAGCTTCTCTTTCTGCATCTTCTAGGACTCCCATAACTCTTTATTTGGCCTCTTAATAGTGCCTTTCAATTCTTGAATACTTTTTTTGGCCTGATCCAGCTCTGCTTCCAGCTTTTTGTTTGTTTCCCCCTAGTGAGAGGAAATATTTTCTAATTTTTGAGATTCTTTCTTCTGTCTCCTTCATTCTATTTTGGAGACTCCATTGTACTTTTCATTTGCTCCACTGTATTCTTTATTTCTGATATATCAATTTTCATTTGATTCATTTTCAGTGTGACATACTCCTTGAATTCCTTGAATGCCTGCTTTACTTGCTTATCATTGTTATTGTTGATAAGTTTCAGGGTTTGGTCACTGAGGGTGAGGTAGAAGGTGGCCTTAGGCAGCAAGAACCACTGGAGACAAGCTGGTGAGGAATGTCAGCTTTGTTATACACGGGTTACAGTTTTTAAAGGGTAAGGAAGTGGAGGGCAGGAGGGAGCCTTCAGGCAGACCCCACGCCCACCAAAGACACTGTAATTGGCTGTATGACATGTTTGTTTCCCTAGATCTTCTGGTCATGTCAGAGGTCATGGTCCAGTTGTATTTCCATTGACCTTCTAGCCATGTTGGAGGTCACACTCCAGGTGTAGTCCTAAAAGCTGTACCTGGGGCCTTGGGGAAGTTTAGATTTGAGCCACGCCCTCTAGCAGCAGGGCAGGGGCTTGGGGCGACTCACCCACAGATAAGAAGCTTAATAAGAAGTGTTTTGAATTCTGTATCCCCCATTTTTCTCAGTGTCTTCCTCAGTGAACTCTGAGGTTAGCAAAGGGTTTTGCCCCTTTGCTGATGAGTCCTCAGTAATATTCCTTGTGCCTCTGTCTCTTCTTTTGCTTTTGGTCATTGTGCTTCTGGTTATCAGATTCTCCTTGGGACAGGTTTCTAAGCTCTGTCACCCACAGGTCTGCAGGTTATGTTTCTTTCAAATAAATGCTGAAAATATTTAGGTTTCTGGAGTTGGCTCATCAGTTCATGTATTTTGTCTTCAGGCAAGTTCATTCTGTTAGCTACCAGGAGTGCAGGTTTTGTCTCAAGTTCTACTTTGTGGAACTCCATCTCTATTGTAAGCAGAATTGTCTCAAAGGCACTTCTGTCATGAGTTTGAGATGAAAGCTGAGAGCCATAAATACCAAAACCAAAAGGTAGATGTCTAGTTCCTTCTATGTGCTTGAGGTCAACTCCATGCATTTGAAATTACTGTATATAATCCTGCTTTAGTGTTATTAATACATAGTCTACAATTGCAGACACTGCATGAGTCCCAACTTAATTAAAATAGTTTTCCAGCATTTAGGAATCCTAGTAGGCCTATAACAGCTTTAAGTTTTAGATCAAACTGAGTTATTCAGTTCTGTTCTTTCAATGGTAGGAAATATATAAGGAATTTAACACTAAGCCACCCTTCAGCTACCAGAATTCTGGTCTCTTCTTTATTGCGTTCTCCTAAAATTTTACCATTTTCATCAGTTACTGCAATGTCAACAGGTATATGTATTTCACGATCTTTTCGTGTGGAGCCTTTCAGTGCACTAACTCAACCTTTTCCTACTCTAGCCACATTGCTTTTCTGAGGAAACGTGTCTTTCAGTGTTTAAAGTCACTTTTTTATCTGCTACAACTCAGATGTTCCCGCCTTTTCCACCTTCTCCACTCAAATGAAGATAACCCATTCTATTGCTTCCTCCCCCAGCGAAGCCTATTGGATTACCAATGAATTTTTCTATGCATACAAAATTGTTGCTCAAAACAATATCAAGGCTGCCTTGTGGCAGAGCAAGTTAAGCTACTTATTAGGATGAGGTGTCTGTCCATGTCCCAACAGATCACTTCTAATCCAATTCCTTGCTAATGCCAGTAACTTTCTTAAAACACTCTCTGAATAAGCAGATAATATTTTGCTTTGTCCATCTGGAAGTTCAACAATAAAAATAACTTCAATATCCCCTCAAATTGTTGTTATTACCTTTGCCCCGACCAGTATACTTGTACTTTTGAATGAACCATTTCCACTTCATTCCAATCAAAACCTATTGTTTTGATTGTTGTTTGTCTTTAGAATCATACTGCTAAAAACTATATTTCAGCTCCTGCTATGAATTTTTCAATCTCTGTTTGAGAAGTAGAACTTCAAACAAGGTTCGGGTAGGATGGCTGAATTGGCTAATCCTCCCCTATAAGTCCTGGAATCTCCTATGTATGCTGATTCATGTCACAGCTGCTCTCCTTCCCATCCAGGTCCCTGCTTATGGCCTCAGAAAGCAGTGGAGGATGGCCAAAAGCCTTGAGCACTTGTACCCACCTGGGAGACCCAGAGGGAGTTCCTGGGCCTGGCTTCAGATAGACTGAGCTCTGGATATTGCAGCCAGCAGATGGAATATTTTACTCTTTATGCCTCTTTTTCTCTGTAAATGTGCCTTTCTAATAAAAATAAAATTAAAGAAAGAACTTCATAGAAAATGAATATAATGAAAAAAGCATGCATGGATCTCAAACTAGGGATAGTACTAAAATAAATTCATCTTCTGATCTCATTTCTACAAACTTTTAGAAAGTCCTTCATATCTAACATATATATATATATATATATATATATACCAAACCATAAAGTTAAATATAAATATGTGTATAAATAAAATCTCATGCTTGTTATAAGATTCATTGCTATTGCGCAAATCAGTAAGAGACTTGTTAAATAAGTTATGGTACATCTATACAATGGATATTATACAATCTTAGAAAAGAGTAACACAAATCTCCTGGTACTAATAACAGATAATTTCCAAGGTATATTATTGAAAGAAAAAGCAATTGCAGAAAATTGTGTTATCCTTTTTTTTTTTTTTTTTAATGCATACAAACAGACACTATATCCACATTTTTTTTTTCTGGAAATCCCAGAATTGTCAACATGGTGTTCTCTGACCAGCTGAAAGTTTGGGTCCTCTTTATGGAAACCAAGGCCACTGAAAAAAATCTCTCTTTATTTCTGTGAGTTCAACTGTTTAGCCATCCATAGTGTGGGTATTAAGCAGATGGGAGATTTAAAAGGGACCAGGTTTCAGTGGCATGTGGTGGGTGTGTTAGGGATTGTGCCCCTCATTTTGTTCTTCACTGAAATGAGTCACTATATAGCAGCTCCTTCAGAGCAAAACATTTGTCTTTTCCAAGTCTTTTTCCTGATGTCTAATATAGTGTTTATTCAGTCATTGGATATTAGATCTGTTTTGTCCTTACCTTGTAACTGCTGCACATGGATGAAGTTGTTTATTTAGTATATTTACAGAAGGTATCAAATTGATGGAGTTACTGGATGTAACTTCAGGTGGTACATGAAATTTGTGAAG